TATGTGCTTGTTAAAAAAAAAACTAAAAAAAAAAAAAAATAATAATAATAATAATGCTGCTGCTAAGTGATAAGACTATTCGTGAACCTGCATAATCCCAGATAAAAACAGATGTGTGCACTTTATGATCTATACACGTCACTTTATCAAAGAGCTTCGTGTCCTCAAATCAATATTCAGCTTATCGAAATTGTATTTTTTCTTCTTCTTCTTCTTATTTTCTTTTTTTTTTTTTTTTATTGTTACTTCTTTCGAGCCTTGAGAGATTTCTCTTTATTCAAAACTTTTAATATTTATTTGATTCTCATTTTACGCAAATGTTTTCAAAAATTTTTAATTATATATTTCGCATTATCTCGTATAAAAATCATTAATTAGAATTTTCATTTTAATGAATTTTATTAGAATTATTTTTTCAAATTAGCATTTGATTTCTTTTTATACGAATTGACAAAAATTTGCTACCGAATTTTTTATTTCAATTGTCATTTAATATTTTCACGGCTTTTAATTTCAGCGAATTTTAATTTAAATCAGCGAAAAAAAATTTATTTGAAATAGCAAAAGGTTTCACTAGAATAGCGAAATATTTAACTGAAGTAAGTGAAGTTTTTGCTATACTAGGGAAATGTTTCACTGTTTTAAATAAATTTTTTCCCGTACTTAATTTAATGTTAATTTTAAGAATTCTCATCCAATCGAATTTTATCTGATTCGAATTTTCGAATGATAAATTCCAATTCATCGAATTTTTATTTCTACGATTTTTTAATTAATAGAAATTTTTGCGACACGGTATTTTCATTTGTCCGAATTTACAAAAATAGCCGAACAAAAAATCCGACAGAAATTTTGGCGCTTTTTTTTAAATACTAACCAATTACGATTTTCTTCTTAATTTTCAATTATAGTCAATTTTCAAAATTGGCGCCAAAATCTTTCTGTCAATATTTTTTATTCGGTAATTTGTAATTTCGGAAAAATAAAAATTGAGCGTCGAAAAAATTTCTATTAATTAAAAAATTTGTACAAATAAAAATTAGGTAAATTGTAATTTGACATTTAAAAAATTCAAATCACATAAAATTCAAACGGAAAAAAAATTTACCTGAAACAGCGAAATATTTCGTTAAAAGTAGCAAAAATTTTACTTATTTCAGTTAAATCTTTCGCTATTTCAAGTAAATCTTTTTTTCCATGAGTTAAAATAAAATTTGCTTCAATTAAAATTCTTTTAATGTAAAAAGTAATAATGAAAATTCTTTCAAAAATTCGGTAGCTAAAATTTTTGTTATGTATAAATTTGTATTAAAATTAAATTAAATTAAATTAAAAATTAAAATTTAATTTGTATAAAAATAAAATTGAAAATTTTATCTAAAATTATTATTAATAAAGAAAATAGAAATTTTAATTGATGATTTTTATTATTCGCGAATTATTCATTATTTTATTGTCTTCTTAAGTTTTCGAAACATTGTTTCTCAAAAAACTTCGAAAAATTACAATCAACATCTAGAGAAAAGATTTCTTTGATTTAAAGAAACCAATTTCTTTGACTTGTTTTCTTTTATTCAAAAATAAAATTTTTTTTTTGTAACAAAAAAAGGCACTTTAGTTTTAAAGAAAATTTATTTATTTCAAACAAATTATCTTTGATTTACAAATTTCTTGCAGTTGAATCAAAGATACTTGGAAATAAATAAATTTTCTTTGTATTCAGAAAAAATTTGTGACAGAAATTGATTTCTTTGAATTCAAAAAAAAAAACCTTTTTTCTGGTTGAATCATAATTATTGTAATTAATGAAATTTTTATCTTTTAAAAAATTTACGCCAGTGGTCACTTTTTTTTTATTCATTTTTAAATAGAAATTGTATTTTTTCTATTTTTTTTTTTTTTTCATTAGCTCATATTTTTCTATAATGCTTAAATTTAGAAAAAAAATTTAACTTTTGTTTTATAAACTGAAAATTCTTTTATACATTGAAAAAAAAATTTATTTTATTCAAATAATCGGTTACTTGAATATTATCAAATAAATATTTACTTGAACAAAATAATTTTTATTTGAATTAAATAAACGCTATTTGAACCAATAATTTCTGTATTTGAAACAAATACTATTTAATTGACTCAAAAAAAAAACAAAACAATTATTTGGTTGCAGAAAATATTTATTTGTTAATAGTCAAGTAATCGATTATTTAAATCTAATAAATTTTTTTTCAATGTTTTTTTGAATTAAAAATTTTATAAATTTCAAAATCACTTGAAATTAAATTATTTCAAAAAATATCCGAATTGTGAATATTCAAAAATTCAATTAATTTAAAAAAAAAAGGTTGTCAAAAATTATTTGACAAATTATTTTCAATTTTGTAAAATTTAATTATTATCTATCTTTATATTTTAAAAAAATATTAGTTACGGCTTATTTCAAATAAATTTTATTTAATTCAAATAAAAATGTTATTTGCGCCAATTAAAATTTTATTCATACAAAACAAAATTTTTATTTAAAATAAATTTAATATAAATATATTTTTTTTAATTCAAATAATATTTGGTAGGAAAAACATTTCTCTTCATGTAATAATAATAATAATTATTTAAAAATTAATTTTTAAGGTTTATAATTAAAAAAAAATAATTATAATAATACCTAATTATTACAAAATAATTTTTAAGCTTTAAAATTTTTTAAATATATTTCTAAATTATTTGATATTATTTTTTTGTAAATCGAAATATAAAATGAATCCTGTTTCAAAAAAAAATAAAATAAAATAAAACCAATAAGATAAGTATGACAATAAGTAGAGGGCAAAAAATTTAAAGACATGATATTATGTTTTTACTTATGGTAAGAAAAACAAAAAAAAAAAAAATTATAAAAACCATGTAAAAGAGGTATTAAATCATAATTTAGACCGGTGAAACGGTTACGTAAATTTTGAACGGTCATTAATCGAGTTTAATCTGTATCGACTCACTGTAAGCGATTACGCTCTCGATACGCACACCACGATGCAATAAATTAGTTAAGGCACACATAAGAGTTTAATTTTTTTTTTTTTTTCTTCTCTTTCAAGTTTATTTGTCAGAGTTTGCAATCGCTAAATGCGTGAGCGGGGAAAGTTTGATATGCATACAATAGAGGACATTCCAACATATAAATACACATAATCAAAATTATGTATATATAATATATATATATGTAAGCGTTTCGTATAAAAATGAATCTTTTATAATAATTACATTGCTGCTCATTAGTCACGATATAAATTTAAAATGTATATATAGTATATTTTTCTTCTTTAACTTTAATCTCTTAATTTTTTTTTTTAAATCGATTATTATTTATAACGAAAATGGACGAGAGAAATGCAATTTAAATAAAAAAAAATGTTGCATTTAAGATATAATACATTGAGGAGAAAAAATGTTCTTTTGAAATTATTTGTCTTATAAAAAAAAAAATTGAGTACGAAAATTGAATAAATAATTTCTATACCGAATGAGCGATAATTTAAATTAAATATATTTAAATTATTTTTATTTTCTATTTTTTTTATAATTTTTGTAAATATTTAGTTAAAGGGATTTTTTTTAAATTTGTAAGTTTTTCTAATTAAATAAATATTGATTTATCATATTAATTATATTAATTTATTATATTTACTATATTAATTTATTATATTAAATAAATATATTATTTTATTTCAATTTGTAAAATATATTTTGTATTTTACTTTAAGAATATGAAATATATAAATTATGTTACTGTATATATTTAATATAAATTTCCAAAAAATATTTCGTTCTTTCGGTGTGAGAAAGAGAAATTTTCCAAAATTTAGCAAATTTAAAAAATAATTTACAGTATATTAAATATCAAAATTAATTTTTTTTTTTTTTTTTTTTTTTTGAAACAAAATTAAACCTCATATACTAAATTTTGTGATTTTAATTATTTTTAAAATCAATTATCTTAAAAATTCAATTATTATTGAAAATAAAATTTTTTTAAGTGCATTTATAATAATTATTATAATTTACATAATTATTTTTCAAATTCAATTATTTTTATTTATAAATTTATTTATTTTTTTGTTTTATATTTTCGTGTTCTACATTAACTATGAGTCACGAGAAATTTCTTAATTTAATTTAAAAACAGAATTAAATTTTTTAACCCGAATTTTACAATAACTCAATGAAAAAAATAATTTTCTAAAACAAATAAAAGTCACGAAAAATTTCCAAATTTAATTTAAAAACAGAATTAAATTTTTTAAATCGAATTTTACTATAATTCAATTTAAAAAAAATATATATTCTAAAACAAATGAGTGACGACAAATTTTGAAATTGAATTTAAAAACAATTAACTATTTTAAATAATCGAATTTTACAATAATTAAATTTTTTAAAAAATTAATATTTTCAAACAATTGAAATTTATTTCTTTAAATTGAGCTTATTTCAAATTTCACAATTTTTTTTTTTTTTTGCCATAAAATTTGTTTTTAAAAAAAGTTTGCACAAAGAAATTAATAAAAAATTAAGTTTAAAAAATATTTTATTTTTAAAATTCATAATTTTTAAATTTTAATAAATGGTTACTTTATCTTTTAAATTAAAATTAAATTATTTCAATTTTTAAATAAATTGTAATAGATATATTAATTATCAAAACTAAATTTTTTAAACAAAATTGAATCTCATAAACTAAATTTTTCGATTTTAATTATTTTTAAAATGAATTATTTTAAAAATTCAATTATTATTGAAAATAAAATTTTTTAAGTGCAATTAAAATAATTATAATAATTATGATAATTTACATAATTATTTTCAAATTCAATTATTTTTATTTATAAATTTATTTATTTTTTTGTTTTATAATTTCGTGTTCTACATTAAGGGGGGAACACCAGTTGTAACTCAAAAAATAATGCTTTTTTCAAGAATATTTTCCAAAAGAACAATGAATCTTTTTAAAGAATACTATTTATTAGTTAAAAGTACATGTAAAAAGCTGTAATTTAAAAGAAAAAAAAAATTTTTTTAACAAAAACTTTTGGAGATATGAGCCATTGAAGTGGCGTCTTAAGAAAAAAGGCGAATTGCGGTGACCAGCATTCTGCAAGTATACTTCGTCTGAAATACAAAAATGAAATTGATTTACATTTATTATAAGATTATCTAGTTCGTGATCGAAGGATTTAAAAAAAAAAAAAAATTTGACAAAATGGCGACCTGTCAAAGTCAAAAGTATGATTTTCGTTAAAAAAATACGGTCGATTTTCAGCTATATAAAAAAAAGTTTTGCATAAAAAAAAAAATCCTTCGATCACGAACTAGACTTATATGTGTAAATGAAGCACACTAAATTTTAAATAAATCGGTTTAATGGTATTCGAGTAATCGTGGTCACCGACTTGGAAAATGTCATTTTGAGAAAAACGCATTCAAAGTTTCAACTTACTTTTTTTTGTTCAGAAGAAATTTTGTTTCCAAGTTACAAAGAGTCATCGATTCTTGGACCATATAATAACTCTTCCGCAGTGGTTGCCGTTTCTAAATCATAGGAAAAGGCCATCTGTCGTTAGGGTCAGTTATGGCTGGCCACCTTGTATGAAGCCACGGGACGCGCCGATGCAGTGTTCTGTATATCTCATTTATTTTTCACCGGATCAACTTTGAAATTTACAGACACATTTCTAAATATGTGTACTTTAAGAAAATGCACAAAAAAAAAAATTGATTTTTCGAAAGTTACAACTGGTGTTCCCCCCTTAACAATGAGTCGAGAACGAGAAATTTTTTAATTTAATTTAAAAACAGAATTCAATTTTTTAAATCCAATTTTACAATAATTGAATTTAAAAAAAATAATATTCTAAAACAAAACAAATTACAAAATTGTTTTAAATTTAATTTAAAAGTGAATTAAATTTTTTAAACCGAATTTTACAATAATTCAATTTAAAAAAAAAAAATATTCTAAAACAAATGAGTGACGAAAAATTTTGAAATTGAATTTAAAAACAATTAAATTTTTTAAATTATCTAATTTTACCAAAATTAAATTTTTAAAAAAATTAATACCTATTTTCAAACAATTGAATTTTGTTTCTTTAAATCACATTTATTTCAAATTTCACAAATTGTTTTTTTTTGCCTGGAAATTTGTTTAAAAAAAAAAATGTTTGCACAAAAAAATAAATAAAAAAATAGATATTTTAGTTTTCAAATTAATTTAATTTAAAAAAATAATTTTAATAAACGCGGTTATTTAATTTTAAAAATAAATTGTAATAAATAATTATTACAGTTTTTAAATAAATTGTAATAAATGGTTATTTCAGTTTTTAAATAAATATTTCACATATAATAATAATAATAATCATTTTGCACTTCAAATAAAAAAAAAATAGAAAAAAAATTCGTATATATTTAAAGACTTACACTTCACGAAGAATCTCTCGTTCAAGTGGCAACATCAACTTTTCTGAACCACTTCTTGGAAATAATTTTTTTTTTTTTTTTTTTTCAGTAAACCTGGGAATTATCTTAGCCACTTTTCTCTAGATTCAACTTTTTATTCTTCCAACTGAAAAAAAATTATAATATAAATATAAATTAAACAAAAAAAAAAAAACCTCGTTATTATTTTCGAAATAAATTTTCTCCTTTTTTTTTTATTTCAAAATACATTTAGATCATTTTAATTTTAATTTTCAAAATTAATTAAAATTCCATTATGTATTTTTATAAATAAAATATTATTATTAATTTTATTAGTGAAAATTTATGAAAAATAAATAAAATATAATAATTTAATAATATAATTGTAATATAATATATAATAATATAATATTAATAATAATAATAATAATAATAATAATAATATTTAATTTATTAAATAATAGAAAGTTTCTTTTTTATTTTTTTAAAAAACTGAATTTTAATATTTGTTTTTTTTCTCTCTATAATAATATTTAATTTATTAAAAAAGAAAAAAATGTAGTTTCTTTAATTAATTATTAATTTATTATTATTATTAATTTATTTAATTAATACAACTGCATTTTAAAATTTTTTTATCATTTTTTTTTCTCTCTACAGTTGTCACGTAAAACAAAAAAAAAAAAAAAAATAGAAAGACTTTTCTCAAGTAAAATTATATATATATATATATATAAATAAATATCTGTCAAATTTTTCGCCAACATGTATTAATTTAAAAAAAAAATAAATAATAAATAATAATAATTTATGCAAATGAAAATGTAAATTTATGTAAATGTTTTTATATACATTTAAATTGAACATGAAAGACCTTGAGGGTGTCAGAGGAAAGAACCTCTAATTCACTTTACTTCTGAAATTTCAATCTCACAAGCTGACATTTTGCATAACTTCTTATATATGTAAAAAAAAAAGAAAATGAGAAAAACTCTGTTTATTTCATATTAAAAAAAAAAATTTCCTCCTTTTTGTTTTTTAATATATATAGGTCAACATTTCAAATCGAAAAAAAAACAAAATTCACTTTTATTGTTAGCAATTATTCAATTATTTTCGGAAAAAAAAAAATATGAAAGGCAAATAATCACAAAAATTGAATAAATTAATTTTGTACATAAATTGTAAAAAAAAAAACCAAAAATTGTAAAATCGAAATGTAGAAAATATTTTTAATCTTGAAAATCAAACTTACCTTTTTTTTGTAGAAATCTAACCTCAAAAATAGTGAATTTATCAATTTTTTCCATCATGAGAATATTCAGATCATTTTCCCTCCAACAATGCTTTTGGTAGCAAAACTTTTTTTCCGATTGTTGACGAATTGCAGAGTATTTATTTATTTTTTTGACGATTTAATCAGCACAGCTTTATGTAACAACTAATTACAACACTATTTTACTCTAATTACTTATTTTATTAGAATAAAAAAAAATTAATTTGCAAAACTTATCATCACTTTTATAACGTCTTTACTCTGAGAAAATTTCTCGTCAAATGGCGCTTTCTCGAAAAATTTTTTTCCCAACAATATAGACACCAGGGTTGGGAAGTTGAGTTCAATTTGAAACGTTTTTTTCAATATTTACCAAAAATAACCAAAGAAATACAAAATATTCTATGTAATTGGCTTTCTAACACCTTTATTACTTCGAATAATACGATATTTACCTTGAGAAATATGTATAATATTCAGAAAACAGTATTTTCTTGTCGCGCCAATTTCAGGGATGTTCTAGTTCAGTTTGGTGTAAAACAAGTAGAGCGTCCGTAATGTAAAACTTCGATGCAGGAAAATTTCTCTATTCTTCCTTCCCCCACCACTTTATTCCCATAGAGAAAATAAAGTCAACCAATCAGATTGCAAATTGACTATACATATAATCTGGCATAGTAACAGCAAAATTCTGAGAATTTTTTGACGGTTTGCAATGTAATAGAAAAAGGCGCCTCTTGCATTGTTTCATTCATTGTCAAAGTCATAATAATGTCGAAATTGTCGAAATTTTAATATAAATTCGTAAATAAAAGTGTGAAATTAATTCTATTGAAAGTGATAAAAATGTCAATAAACAATATTGGCGATATAATTTAATTTCTTTGACGAAAAGTGGAAAATGAGATTTTTTTTCCAAAAACAATGACCTTGAAGGTGAATGACCCGAAATTGAAATATACTTTTCTCTTTGAGAATAATTGTGGAAAATATGAAGATCATTAACGAAAGGTATGAAATAAATGTATTTTTCTTGCTGTATTGAATTTGTTTTATAATTTCTAAATTTTATTGATTTTATTATATTTGTCAAATATTTTATTTTCTATTTACCTCCAATATTTTGAGGTTAATTGCAATATATTTTCGAATATTTGAAAAAAAATGTGCAAAACATTTTTTTTTAGGTTAATTGCAATATTTTTTTTTTTTGAAATATTTTCCAAAATACGTGAAAAATATATTTGAGGTTAGAAAAAAAAATTTTTTTGACGTTCATAGTATTTAATATTGATTTTAGTCAGGTTTTTCTAAAAAAAAAAACAAGTAGAAAATCCAAAATGTGAAACTTTTTTTCTTCCCCCACCACTTTATGCTGATGTGAAAAATAAATTCAACCAATCAGATTGTAGATTGCAGATTGACTATAATTTGCTATAGCAACAGTAGTCTAGAATTTTTGGCGGTATGCAAGTAATAAAAAAAGGCGCCTTTCATTGTTTTATTCATTGTTAAACCGTTAATATATAATGTGTAATTGTCGAAATTAAATGCAAGAATAAAAGTGTGAAATTAATTATATAAATTTATTGACAGTGATACGAATGTCAATAATAACAACAATTGGAGATTGGCGATATATATTTTCTTTGACGAAAAAAGTGTGAAATGAGATTTCTTTTTTTTCTAAAACAATGATCTTGGGAAGAATGACATGAAAAATATATGAAAATCGACAACATGAACGAAAGGTATGAAATAAGTGTATATTTTTTCTTTCTATTGAATTTTATATATGTGAAATGTTTTATAATTTCCAAATTTTATTGATTTTATTATATTTGGAAAAATGTTTTTATAATTTCTTCTAAATTTTATTGATTTTATTATATTTGTGAAATGTTTTTATGAAAATTCCTATTTACCTCCAATATTTTGAGGTTAATTGCAATTTTTTTTTTTTTTGAAATATTTTCGAAAAATACGTGAAAATAATATATTTGAGGTTAGAAAAAAATTTTTTTTTCGACATTTGTAGTGTTTAATATTGATTTTAGTCAAATTCGACTTATTTATTTTTTTTATGTTGATTTACATTTATTTGCAATTTCGCAAAGTTAAGAAAATTTTCTTTTTATTTAATTTGTCTGTTTATGAAATATTAAAATCGAGATTTTTATATTAAAATTTGAATTGCAATTTTGTTTCTATAATTAAAAAAAAGTATATATTAATATAATTAAAATAAATAGAAATAATTACAATTAATAGAATTAATTAAAATTAATTTTATTCTCCACATTTAAATTGTTTATATAAATGATAAATTTTTTATTTTACGATTGCTGAATAAATAAATAAATTTTTATAAATATTGAATTCTAAAAATATGTGGAGCATAAAAAATTATAATTAATTATTTTTTGTATTAATTTAAAAAATACGAAATAAATAAAATATTTTTTTAAATAAATTTTGTGATAAAAATAATTAATATTTTTGCACTTAAATTGAAAAGAATTTTTATAATAGTTAAAAAAGTCTAGTTACTAAAAAAAAATTTGGTAACATTTAATTTTTACTTTTTTTCTAATTATTATTACAGTTGAGATTTTATATTACAAATTTAAATTTTTTTTACCTATTTATTTATTTATTTTATAATTTTTTATTTAAAATACACTTAAAAAATTTATTTGATTCAAATACTCAATTACTTGACTGTTATCAAATAAATATTTATTTGTATCAAAACATTATTATTTGAGATAATATTTGTTTCAAATACAGAAATTATTAGTTCAAATAAATTTTATTTAATTCGAATAAAAATTATTTGGTTCAAGTAAATATTTTTTTTTGATAATAGTCAAATAATCAAGTATTTGAATCAAATAAATTTTTTTTTCAGTGTAAGAAACCAAAAATTTTGCAAATATTTGTAAATTGAAAAAAAAATTTCCCATAAACATTGTAGAAAAGTTGCAACATTTATATATATTTATGAGTAAGTAATTATATCTGCGTAATTTATAAAGTTGATTCTTTTG